GTCATTTTCATGAATATAGTAAATAAAATTCATATGGGCATCTAGGCGCCAATCTGTACAATCCCTTAAAATCGGAACAACAGTAGTAGATGATATTCTCGTTAAATCGATTAGACTACAGATACACCGAACCAAATTTGATCCTCGATGTCAGAAAGTTAAAACAAGAGTAAAAATTTTTGATTCTGAGCAAAAAATTTGTTTAACCTCTCGCATGAATACAAAGCTACCCTAAATTCTGTAGCGAGGAAGCAATAAATTCCTTCTAGTTTTTAAGTAGATGAAATATAAAATTTGCTAGAAACTCATTCACCACCTTATACATTTGAAATCACCAAGTACACTCTTTGTCATATCCTTTACAAACATCATTTTAAATTAAAAAAAAAAAAAGTAAATAGGTATGTCAGAAATGGTATAAATAGGAAGGGACAGAGACAAAGAACAATAATTGGACTGAAATTTAAAATACCAAAAATTCATATAATTAAATAAGAACACCAATAACATTAAAAACCGATAAAACACAAACCTACAACAAGAATTACCAAAAACACGACCAAATAAAATAAATAAAAAGGTAATACATGCATACATAAAGGCTAATACAAAGATTCGTGTACATTATTATTATTAATTTATATAGTGCAAATACTCTCAATCTGGTACAACAAAGTAAAGTGCCAATGTACATCTTAAACCAAAAACTAAAGATACAAAATTAAACAACTACAGATGCAATAAAAAAAAACAAAACAAGAGGGAAGTAATTTCAAAATAAGTCAAATAAATACCAAACCTTATAAATAACTTCCAAATTAATCAGTGACCCACAATAAACTCAAATGTAATGGGCCTGAAATAGATAGTGATAATTAAATTATTAAAAGTTCATTAAGAAAAAGAAAATTACAATATCTTAATCAAATAAAACAATAAACGATAATAAAACGCATAGTTTTAAAGTAGTAGGATGTTAAAACAATAAAAAGTTAGGTATAAACATATTAGCAAACAATTAAATCATAAAATCTGATTTCTGATCATTGAAAACTGTAACATATCAGATATGTTTGATAAACAAGGAACAACTAATTGAGATGAGAAAATTAATCCATCTTTGATGTTACTGAAAAAAATGTTGAAAAGAATCACACGGAAATAAAAGATTATACAAATATACCAGCTCATTAATTCATTGAAAACATGACTAATAACTGTAACAGAAAATTATATGGTATGTATAAATTTATGACTCAAAAGAATTAACAACACTGAATAATAAAACTAAAGTCTCAAATTTTAAGAATCTGGGGAAAAAACAAGTATTAAATACAAAGTCAACATGAGAGAGATAGAGAAAAGAACTTTCAAACTATTCAGAATCTATATCTAATCAATAAAATAAAAGAGAAAAAAAATAAAAATGAAAATACTCACTTTGAATATATTACAAAGAAGCCAAAATGTAAACTTTTGCAAAATTATTATGTTTCTTTCAGTTCTTAAGAGATGTAAAACATGACAGATTGCTCTAAGGGAAGTTAAGGTTAAAGAAAATTGAGTATCATTTGGAGGCCTAAAGGAAGATGAGTCAACAGAACCATTAGATGCCTAAATTTCATTTGTTTATTCAACTTTAAGAATAAAATAATATAAAATGTTGCATAAAAATTTACATTTCACAAATACTCTTATCAATCCATCTTTTTTTACTTTTTATTTTGAATGTAAAGATAAAGTTTCTTTATTATACAATTAATTTGTTTTTATTGAAAAAATGATTAATTTTTAATTTGTATACCTTAGAGCCAAGATAATATTAACACTAGATAAATGTTATAAAGATACAAAATTTAAATTTTGAAACTTTTATTAAAAAATAAAAATAATTAAATAAATATATTGATCTAGTCCTACATTTACATACTATGAGCCATAAATATATAAATATGATTGCAGTAATAGTAGAACACTAATGAAATGTTTTCAGTAAAAAATTCGGAGCTATATAAAGAATGAGGCGCTAGAAATATTATAACTGCCAAAACAATAGATAAACTAGATAGATTGTTAGGTTTGGCCATGTACATTAAGAAAAAATTGAATAAATAAACGATAGAAGACGTACATATATAACATAGAATAAGCAGACATTTTTTTTCCGTAAGTCCAATGTTTGTTTGCAATCCATTTTTCAAATCTGCGTAGATCAATTGGATAACAAATGAAAAGTTTGATAAGAAGCATGATAGATAATCTGGATTCACTATCTATACATGGCTTATTATGCTTGCCAATGTTTTGACATAAGCATAAGGGTCATCATCAGGATGAAATATATTAAAAAAAACAAAAAAAAAAAAAACAGAAATATAAGATATATATATTAATTTTAATCCTTGATGATAACCAGTTTTAAACAATAAAAAGTTGCGGGGGATAAATATTCAGGATGCAGTCATTATACATTTTTTTTTATTTGTGCTGACCCAAATATGTGTGTCATCCATTATCAAGGCTGAAAATTTAAAAATACGATCAAAGATATAATATTATACGAACCAATAATGGTAAATAATAAACTATAGTGATTGATAGTACATGAACTAACTAAGTTAACATGAATTTTAACTAATATTACAATACACAATATTAAAAATTAAATATGTAAAAAGCTATAAAAACTAAAAATAATACATTTGTAATATTTAGTCAGCAAATTATTTACGTTCTTCAAACAGAAATGTTACCTCCCCCTTCCCCTGACTATGTTTACCTATCTTTTGCTATCTGAAAAAATAAAACTGGGAAATCCTCCCCCGATCCTTTCACTTACCTAACGAATGTGTCAGTACTTGAAAACCTTTCAGTGCTTGAACTACGGTTAGTAAGAGAAAATATTACAAATTTTTATAAATGGATTATATATATTATTTTTAGTTTGTATAACTTATTACGTATTTCATTTTTAATATTGTGTATTGTAATATTAATGTACCATCAATCACTATAGATAATTATTTACCATTATTGGTTCGTATAATATTACATCTATGAATGTATTTTAAAATTTTCAGCCCTGATGATGACCCACATGTTTAGATTGAAACGTCGGCACAAATAAAAATTTTTTATAATGACTGCGTCCTGAATATTTATCACCCATGATATGTAGAACAGTCGAATAGCTTACTTCTATAACTACGCTAATTGTAGAATCCACAAGGGGCCCCTATAGTGTTTTATTAGTTGACTAAAAAGAAATATAAGGGTCAAGTTACATCAAAGTTATAAATGAATAATGCCAACGAAGAAATTCTTTAACAAATATCACCACTTCCAGAAAGTTTTGATCAGAATTCATAAGATACATGAATAGAACCTCCAAATGGTTGTAAACAATTTTGAATCTAAATTCAATAGAAGGAAAACAATTTAAAGTGATGCCAAATTCTTTCATTTAATGATTCATCCTAATTTATTATTTATTTCAACTTGAATCATTAGAGTAATGGGAAGCAGTTAAGTTTTCGAATTCGTATTATACTATACTCCCAAAAAAAAATAAAAAAAATATACATACGAAATCTTTAAATTAAATTCTGGATAAATTTGTCTGAACTAAAATAATTCTATAATAAAAAAACAGAATGTAATACATAATCGTAATCAAAGAAAATCATGTTAACAAATACATGTTTCAAGTATATACAAAAACTAAAATTTCATCGAAAGTATTAAGCTTAAAGTTTAACATTTCTCTAAAAACTTTTATAATAAATTAGCATAAAGTTTAAATATGTCAATAAAAGCAAATTGCTACTATTTTTATTTTAAAAAATGTATAACATTTAATATAATTTATAAATTCATAGAATTTTATTAATACTACAAAATTTCCTTATCTACTAAAGGAAATCAATACTTATTTACTAAAGGAAATCTATATATCTTAAAATTACCATTAAACATAATTAATGTAGAAGAGCAAAAACTCAAAAACAAACAAATTAAATATTAGGTTATGATTGGGAAAAACCAAACATAAATACTTGAATCTAAAGCACAGGTAAAACAAACTAATCTGTCCCTACTTCATTGACACGTTTTTTCACCTACATCTTGGAGTTTTACCGTTAAACCATATTAAATAATTCTTAAAAAAAAAAATATAGTATCATGTTAGACATAATTTTCTGCCGATTCATTAATTTTATTTCATATTAAAAATAAAATAGAATACAAATGATGATGTCACTAACACAAGGTACTGAATATCACTTTTTCAAAACTTTAATTTAAATAATATCATCAGAGGTATTCATGTGATGAGTGCTAATTACATTAAATTTCTCAGATGTGTTAATAAAAATAAAGTTATTAAACATTTGAATGATAAATGGCTAAAATAGTACACTAGACTTTAACAAAGCCTGGGGAAGGTTATTGTTAGGTTTTACAACTTTTATTTGAAATGAAATAGAACATCAGAAAACAATGTAAAAGGGATACAGAAAATATAGAACAAAAATCATCTTTTATATTAAACAAAATCTGATGAAGGTGAATATATTTTTTTCTTTCTATTCCACACTTTAGGCAACAACCAGCACTCAAATAAAAGCAAAATAAGCTATTAAACATTTAAATTAACAAGTGAAATCCAAGTTATTGTTGGTGGAGGTTTCAATAATAACTAATATTTCTTTTAAAAAATCATTTGGTAAATATTAGCTTTTGGAAATAAATACCATGGTTATTAAATTTAATTTTAGATTAATATATTTTTAATTAAAAGAGGTTCATTACTTTAGGAATCGAGCAACAATAATTTCTAATAGGAAAGCAATATAAATGTGAAACTTTTGACTAGCAAAAACGAAATCAATAGTTGATTTGAATACAGTTTACCATACTAATGTTTATTGATTTTCAAATTTGAATATTAAATCAACGTTATAATTGAAAAATGGAGAAATAAAAAACTAGTAAACTACCTAAGGATTGGTGGTGGCGGAGAGACGGGGAGGGTAGGCAGGGGCTACAACTTGTCTTGAAAGAGGAATAAGTTGTTTGTGGCCGCAACAGCTATTATGTTCTCAGTCGGGTGCCAAGCCGTATGCAGGATTTTCTTATTGAAGTCTAAGCAGTCTACAGAAATTTCATCTTTCTTCCTCTTCCCGCCTGTACAAACCTGTTAAAAAAAATGTTAACAATCTAAGAGTCTTATACAGAAGTAAAAAAAAAAAAAAAAAAAAGTAAACATTTAAAACAAATAAATAATTATATAATTGACAAAAAAAAGAATAGTTGTTTCATTTATGCGGCTTTAAAACGGAAAAGAGTTTTGGGCTTAAGTCAGATTATCGGTCAAGTAAACAACACCTACAAAGTAAATGTATTTTAGTAGAATAAAAATAAATTATAGTAGAGTTATGGATAAAAAGAAGTTAAGTTTAACATCAGTGGTTTAAATATACAATACAATCATTCTGTAAGAAACACACAAATCTTAATTCTTTATCTATAAACAAAAAGGATCCCGAAGAAAGAAGTCACATAGAAAAAAAAACTAGTAAATGGTAATTTTAAATTATTTTCATTTGTTTATTCAACTTTAAGAATAAAATAATATAAAACGTTGCATAAAAATTTATATTTCACAAATAATCTTATCAATTCATCCTTTTTTACTTTTTATTTTGAATGTAAAGATAAAGTTTTTTATTATAAAATTAATTTGTTTTTATTGAAAAAATTATTAATTTTTAATTTGTATGCCTTTAGAGCCAAGATAATATAAACACTAGATAAATGTTATTAAGATACAAAATTTAAATTTTGAAACTTTTATTAAAAAAAAAAAAATATTTAAATAAATATATTGATCTAGTCCTACTTTACATACTAAAACTACTATCTAAATACTCCAACTCGACTCCTAGTACACCACCATAATAACTGTACACAACAGGATAACAAATATGACAAATCTAACATACATAAAAACGTAGCACATTTCAAGCCACCAGTCAAAATCGCACCAAACTGTTACTAGGAGGGCATCTAAAGTTTTTAATTTAGGTACTACAATGGCTCCAAGTCCACCAAGTCCCAAAATAGGCCAAAACCTAGCTGATGAATATATTTCAAAGTGGTTAAATAAGAAAAATGAAAGAGTAAAAAACGGTTAAAGTTTTTTTTATTCACACTGAACTGCTTTAGAGAATATTAATCATATTAATATTAAAAAAGAAAGAAATAATACACTAATACTTTACTTTCATGCATCTACAAATTTCTATTAAGACAAACACAGGTAGAATATCATGCAAAAAAACTTATATACCTGATATACCTTTCTTGGCTTAAGAACTGTCTTTGGTTTAGCTATTTCCCTAGAGGCTTCTAATGTCACATCACGTCTTGATGCTCTGTCAAACATTCTAAAGAAATTGTTATACGATCCAGTCATAATGTACTGATCGTTACCAGCCCAACAACATTCAAACTTGTCGAAGATACAGTCATTTTCATAAAGGGAACAGAGTTTTGACCTTAAATATTCATGAACCTGAAAAAAAAAAAAATACATCAATAAGTAATTATAGTTTAAATTAAATAGTCATCAAAAATATAGTATCCATTTTAAAATAATTTCCACATCTCAGTAATGATGAATAAGGTACAATTACAGAGATGAACCAATAACAATCGTAATCATGGTTATGATAAGGATAAAAAAAAAAAAAAATCGAAGCCATAATTAACAATTACAATCATTACGATAAAACCGATTTATATCAATTACTTGTTAACATTTCACTCTTTAAACTTTTGAAGGTAACCAGATCAAAAGAGAAATGTTGATTCCAAAAATCAGGACTCAACATTTCAAAAACTAACTAAACAATAGAGAAAGAAAATACAGGAAGGTTTTGAAATAATAATACCAAGATTAATGTAGCTAAATAAGTTTCTTAGTTACAGAAAAGAGTTTGAATATCACAAATGAATAACAAGATTTTACACAAAGAAATATATTAAAACATTTGAAATCATAAAATAATCATGAATACCTACTGGATAACTTTCTATAGGCTTGCTCTCCATGTGTAAATCCCAAACCTTGACAGAGAGATAGTCTCTCGAGATCATGTAGCGCCCTGAATTAGACACCTTAACGTCAGATATACTTGAAATTATCTCAGAAAAGAAACTTCTGTTCGTCGGATCTTCAGGTTCTTCAAAAACTAAAAACATAAAACAAAGATTAATTTCCAGCTGTGACCTCTTCTTAAGTATGTAATAAAAACTGATTAAGAATATTATATAAACCATAACTTAAGATATTTAAAAGAACTTAGTCATACTTTTGGAATGCCTATCACACAGCGCTGCTTGCCGCATGTCACATAAACGTATAGTTCCTTTACTGGAACTATACACAAAAACATTACATTCAAGGGGATGAAATTCAGCGGCAGTTATCACTTCCGTCAGCTCCTCCATATTGGCAGGTTTAATGTCAACAATGTCTATTACATTTGGATTAAGAAAATATATAATGAAACTGTAATTTTTCTAATAATTAAAAACAAAAAATTGAACTAACTTTTTCTTTATAAGTTGAAATGTTTATTAACAGTATTCAATGTATCATTTAAATCCCCGCCCACACTCCCCGGGAAAATCAAGTATTGCTTTAAAGGAGAGGACCAAAAAAAAAAAGTCTTTCTGCTTTGTTATAATATTTACAAGCGTACAGAGAATCCCAGCTCACAGGATGGGGATAAGTCCAATATAATTTTAAATGCTTAGAAACCAATAAGGGATATTCCTTCATAATTGAAATAAATCAATTTGTTGGCATTCATAATATTTGGCTCTTGTTTCTAATGTGTCGACTACAGAAGGAATTCAAATCAGGTCATACAAATAGACATGTACATCTAGGAAACAATAGATAATTTATATTCTTTCAACAACATTAAAAAGCGTCAGCCAAGTGAGGTCAATGACTTCGCTGGTTCTACACTAACTTCCGTCTAAAGGTCAATAACTTTTTGTTTGTGAATGAAGTCTTCTGGAAAAGCCGTAGTCTATAAGTAATTCCACAACATTTGCAGATTAGATATCCCATCTTAATTATCAATGAAAACGAAAATCTGAAAGTTACACATTTGCTAATATCGTATTTGACTCTTCGTGGTAACAAAAAAAATAAAAAAAAAATATTGAATACTTAACACGATTGATCGTTGTATATTTTTGAGGGAGATGATTCGGGATAGGAGTCATAAAAATAGCAAAATAGTGAAAAATATATTTAATTTCAAGCCAATGTTTCGACCCAGAATTATTTTTGATTTGTTAAGATTTTCATTTATTTAACATAAATGCTTATTTAGAGTATTCATGGTTTATTATCATAGACTGAGATTTGTGGAATGATGTGTTCCATTATAATGCTATTTATGTTATGGTGGAGCAGCATCCATTGTTAGAAAAAATGTATGTAGAGGCTAAAGAATCCTTCACAAATAATAAAACCTTTTTGTATGATAATACTTCACCGTTTTACCCAAACTGTATTAAACAAGAAAATAAAAGAATTTTAATTTAGAGCCATAATACCTTGTACAAAAGAATGTTATATAAAACTTATTGCTTTTGAAAATATAAAAACATAAGTTAACCAAATATTGATGGAAAGGATACTGAAGCTCTGGTCAGTGATCTCGAGATGCCACAGGTTGATACGGAGGTCATCAGCAGATAAGTATGTTTCTTGATCAGAATTTACCGAAATTGAGTTAATGTGGTATGTATGAGCATTGGCGAATATCCTTCGTGGTGAAGCTTCCACCATTAGTTCCATTGGTTTGATCACAGGAACCTGAAACCAAAATAAGCATAATGCAACATCACTTCACAAGATATAAAGATACTTTAATGCAGAAATAATTATTTTTGCAGAGAGCAGATCTCGAACTTACAAAATGTTCCAATACCTCTTAATATTTCAAGGAAGAGCGGTTAAAAAAATTTGATGATTACATATTCATCTCCTAGTTTAATGTGAAGTCTTTAAGAAAGTTCATTTTGTTAATTAATAATAAAACTTTTACTGCTATTTATGGAACTAAACTTTTATCTGAGTGGTTTATTCGTCCTCTGTTCATATTTCATTAAAACATTAGAAATGATAGAACTATAAACACAAAATGTATGAAATAAAAACAGGGAGAGTAAGTTCTACTAACAATTAGAAAAAAATAAAATAAAAATTTGGCATAAGAAAATGCGTTAAGATAACATAACTATATTCTATAAATTTAAAGAAAAACAAAATTAATGTTCTTAATAATCAACATACCCTCAATGCAGTGATGCATGAGGGATCCCTCATTTGGCCATTTTCTTCTTTTGTATTGTAGCCTTCTACTTTCTTGTCTCTTTCTGACACTTTCCATAATTTGATTGTTTTATCTATTTAGAACAAAATAAAATTAGTTTTAATTACTGTAAAATGTTTAATTAGTTAATTTTACTATGCATAATAAAAGATAGATGAAAATATTTTATTCTAAAATGTTGATAATCATAAATATATTAAAAACATCTATTACAAACAATAACCGATAAAATTAATATATGAAAAGGATGAAGCCAACATCTATTCACAATCCTAAAAGTATTTTTTTTTTTTTTTGTAATCTATCCTAAAGCGAAAGAGATCCAAGAGAACTGGCTATATTATTCTTATCATCTTAGCACCACCCTAGCCCATTAATGGATTATGGCCTCCACACCAGCATCTTCCGCTAATCATTACATTTCCATAAAGCCACTATAGCCACTATCCAGTTGTGCACTCCAAGGACGTTGTGAGTGTCAGCCGCATCTCTGCCAACTCTGATTTGGCTTTCCACTTCATAGAGAGGTTCCATCAGCTTTCTTGGCAGCTTTTCACCTATGCCCACCTCATGCCATATCTAATACAATTGGCTTCATTTGACAACCTTAATGGTTTCACTCCTATAAATGAATAACAAATCTCCTGGTTGATACTTCTCCAGGAGTACTTTTCCAATCAATAACAGTCCTCCAAATATGTTCTGAAGGATCTTCCACTTTAACACTAGAAGATTTTGTTCATTACTTTTGGTCTTATTCCAAGTTTTTGAGCTGTATATTAGTACTGGCCAGATTATGGTCTTACTTAAATGTAATTTTATTAAACAGTTGATTTTGGTCACCATTGAATCTACATACAAAAATTTGGCGACATGTTAAAATCGGTAATCCCAAATCCAACACACTAGTTCATCTAGGTGTCTTCTCTATCAACATAGCTTTTGGCTGATTCATATCAAAACCAAGATTCCTTACAGGGCTTAGTATTAGAAAACTTTTCTTATAGCTTGCTGAGAGCGCCTAATAATGTTGATGTTGCAATACGCCAATAGATATCTACAGTACCTGAATATTGCAAATTGCTGCCCAACATGAAGTCCAACTCTCTCACAGCCTTATCTAGTAAAATATTGAAGAGGTATGAGAGGCCGTCACATTACTGTACGTCCTTGATCTCTTGGAATTCCTTGCACAGATCTCCACTAACACACATTCATTGAACGCAATATTTTATTCATGGCCAGCTTCACCATTCATATGAAAACCATATCTGCTGGGGCATCAGAAGTTCTTCCATGCTAGAGTTCTTTACGATTAATACTAATGTATGTGGCCTTAAAGTCGATATAGAAATGGTGTATCTTTAGTTTATATTCATGTCCTTTCTCCAATATGCTTCTTAGGCATAAAGATTTGGCCGAAATAAGATTTTCCATGTCAAAATCCATACTGGTAGAGGCCAATTGCCCTGTATGTAACGGGAAGAAGACCTGTGAATAAGAGATTCAAGATGACTTTGTATCAAAAAGTAAGTAAGGATATGCCACTATAGTACACGCAAAGCAATTACACATCTTGTGAATAGGATAGATGATCAATTGTTTGCATCCTCAACATTGGGAGAGTTCATCGCACACTGGAGCCTAATGGTTCTTCAGCCTACCCACAGTTTCCATGCCTCCCGTACAGAGTAGGAGATTAGAACACCTATTAAAGTTTTCCTCAAATTATTAATTCTAATATAAATTATCTCAATACTTAATCATCTGTACAAGACTTCTATTTTTCACAGCTCTTCATTCAACATTGAAGACTCTTCTCTCGATGAAGCCTCCTGTACTACACACACTCAACATTATTACTAGGTACCCCTCTGCATTATAGCCTATACCACACTCTTTTAATGAGTGGAATTTCAGCATTTATCATCAAACCTAAGGGAACAGCATTCCTTCTGAGTTAGTCCCACAATTGCATCAGCTGTCTTATCCCAGGAGCTTTGGAACAGGCCTCTCACAGATCTTCATCATGGTGTGTTAATATTAATTCCTTGTCAAGCTAGACTGTACACCAGTTCATTACACCTTGCTGATTTATAGTTCATTACAATTGAGCTATTATTAAAACCATTATTGTGGAGTTTCTGGAAGTTGAACCTTTTAACCACTTTTTGATAGTCAATCCATGGATATCTCGGCTGTAAGATGTGCTATTGAAAACTTATAGAAGTATGAAAATATATGAAGAGATAAGGAATTCTAAGTTAAATTGGAATAATAACACAGTTAAATTAGATAGAGAATCTTTCAGGAAAAAAAAAAAAATATATACCATTTTCAGATAACAATGGTATGGACATTTAATGCATCATTCCAAAAACAAAAATAATGCCTATTAGCATTCGGAGTTTGATAAAAATGAAATAATCAAAATAAGCACTATTACACAGAAATACAATAACAAAGTTAAGATCTCTCAAGAAAAATGATGCTACAATGAAAATTATATGATAATGCAATGATCCCCCTTTAAAATATCCACAAGTTGTTGAGTAACATAAGATTTAAACAATTAATCTGTAGTTTTCAAAAAGCACACAGATACATAAGTCAGCTTTCCAACGTTTACCATTATTTTGAGGATAAAAAACTGTTCAAACAACAGGTTGTTCCCTTGGCTTATTGTTAATAAATAATGCTAATTTAAATACATATTGCATCTAAAATGTCTCCAAGATTAAATACGTTTAGAAATAAGAAGATAAAAATACTTTTAAATTGAAAAATTTATCATTTTTATAAAGATTTGGTTTGTTTTAACAATTTGCCACTGAGTATACAGAATTTTTTCAGGAATCCTTCTATTTCTAGATTTTATTTTATTTTTATTTAAATGAAATGAAAATATGTTTTACTATTCTGGGACTGTTGTCTCTTTAGAACAAATTATAAGTACAGAATGCATGTCTGTTTGGTCACAAATAAATTAAATATTTACAATAATAGTTAATTAAAAATAAAAATACAGAAGAGAGAGAAAAAGATAAGAAAATTGTACGTGTACATAAGACAAACAAAGGAAACTAAAACAATATAAATAAACAGAAATAGTCTCTGGGGGTACTTAAGATAGTTCTCTTAGGTATATATCGTAATCAGTCGGATTGAGAAAGGAGTAGGTGTTTAAAGAGGAGAGGTTTGAAAGAGGAAACTGATTGTGCATGTTGTATATCAGCAGGGATGGAATTCCAGAGGGAGGCTGCTTGAATTGCAAAGGATTAGTCACATGCAGTAGTTCGGTGAAGAGGAGGATACTGGTCGGAAGTACGAGATCTAGTGGGATGGGATTGGATGGAGTATTTAAATTGTAAGCTGTGAAAAATATAGGAGGGTCGATGAGTTCTAATGATCTGGTACAGAAAGGTAGCTAGAAAGTACTGACAGCGATAGGATCGATAGAGCCACTTCAACTCAGTGTAATACTGAGTAATATGCGTATCTCTTGAGATTCTGAAAACAAAACATAATGTGCAATTCATAAGGCATTTAAGTTTGGTATCAAATCTCCCAAGAGTCCAGCGTATACCATACAGGCATAGTTGAAGTCTGGAGAAATGAGAGAGGAAACTAGGAGTTGAAGGGACTTATATAGAAGGAGATAACATAGACGATTGAACTGTTTTAGGGTGGAGATAGCATAACGGGAAATGTATGGTTTCCAGAAGAGGGTTTGATCAAAAGTAACAACTAGGTTTTTAACGGTAGTATGAAATAAGATAGGTGAGTTGTTCAGGAGGAGATTGGGAGATACCAGGGAGGATTTTAGGAGTGAAGGGATCCGATCAAGATAGCTTTTGTCTTCTAGGAGTTCAGAGTGAGCCTATTGAGGTGTGCCCAAGTACTTATTCTATTAATATCTTCTTGGAGTTTTAGAATGGTATCTCAGGAATTGGTCGGATTGAAGGAGAGGTAAATTAGGGATTACAACATACTAGGAGTGACCAATAAGGAAGGAATGGAACCAATTAAAGGCACTAGAAGAAAAAGAGATATTTTTAAGTTTAGTTAGGAAGATGTTGTGGTCGATTGAACCAAAAAGCTTTGGCGAAGTCAAGGAGAATAAGGATGGTTAGTTTCTGCTGTTCTATGGCTGTATGAAGGTCTTGGGAAATTTTGATTAGGGCAGACTGAGTAGAATAGCCAGGCCTGAAACCAGATTGGTAGGGATTTAGGAGATTATTATGTTCCTAAAAATGGGATAGCTGGGATTGAACTAGTCACTCTAAAGGTTTGGAGAGGTTTAAAAGAAGGGAAATTGGACAGAAATCATTAAGAGCTGATGGGTTAGAGGTCTTCTTTAAGAGTCTTATACTAGGACAGTTTTCCAGGATGTAGGGAAGCTAGTCTATATCAGTTTAAATTGTAAATGTATTAAAACCAATATTTAAATAATTAATTTGAACAATTACAGTGAAACCTTCTACAGCTATTATAGCCCATTCGGCCATAAAATTTATAGCTTAAGATGTGTGAATGGTAAAATGGAAAGTAATAAAGATTGTTATCTTCTTTAAAACTGTTCTGATATTATTTTCTAAAGGGCCAAGCTAAAAAATTCCATAAACGCTTCGAAGAAGCAAATACAAAAAAACAAATATATCAGGTTTAACAGATACATATAAAATACTGATATTAAGCAATTCTTTAAAACTAAAACGAATAACTTTAATACGGACTGATTGGGTTTATACATATTGTGCTCCCCCTTCAGATCACAAAACATGATTGAATTATTCAATAAGCTCATACAACTTTCATGACAATATTTTAATCCAGATTGAAAAAGAACCTTCTGTATTCAGAAGCAAATAATTCAGGCAATGAAATGGTTACGAATCACAATACAATTTAGCCATACACTCAACATAATTTCTTAATATTTCTTTAATAATAATCATAATTACTACACATATAGTTAAGAACTATACTAAGATCTTCTTGTTACTTTAAAAAAGGGACAAAGAATAAGCATTTTAGATATAAATGTATTCAAGAAGTTAGAGTTTAATATTGTAAATAATATGCCAAGGCCAATCTACTTCAGCCTACTTAATAAACCACTTTCACAACAATACTATGATCTTTGCAGGGTTGAATACTAGGGACCAAAATCCAGTGGGTTATATAAAAAACTGCTCTTATGGCTGCAGAGAAAATACTTTTGCATATAAACCTAGTGAAGCATCCTACCACATATAAAAATATAATTTATCACAAGATTTTACTTTTATTTTGCACAGTTGAACAGCTCTTAAATTTAAAATGAATATACTGGTCAAAGTACCATGAAATAATATTTATTAACTTTCTTTCTTTCTTGCTTGTGTTGAAGACAGGGCTTGTTTTCATTTATATGAAAAAATATTACTTTGTTAATAATGTAAAAAAGAAAATTTGTTGTGAAACAGCATGAGGATTTAATGGACATTACAATGAATTTATTAGCATAAAATATGAATGCATATTTGGTAACTTTCCCACTATAAAATTTCATAATAAAAAAAAAAAAATTATGTAACAGTAAGGTCTCATATGATAAGTAAACATAAAATAATACTTACCATTAGTAGAAAGAAGAAAATGTGATTGATTTTTTCGCCTGAGCCACCTAATTTTATTAATTTTTTCTTCTATTTCTAGGCTTTTTAAATAATCAAATTCCGGCTCATGGCTTTGGAAGGTAGAATAAACGTTATATTCGCCTCTTCGAGGTTGGCAATTTTTACTCTATAAAAAATCATGAATAAGACATTTGAAATTTACATTGAATCAATTTATTTTTTTTAACAATTGCACAAGTTAATATGGATTGAAAAGGAAAAGGTAATTAGTGTTATAGGAGATAACACTCATTGCACTAGAGATCATTTAATGGAAAAATTTAAGAAGGTGAGGAAGTAATTCATTGCAGGTTATAGCAGGTACATATACAACCTAATTCTTTCAGCCCTTTCGGCTAAAACAAAACAAAATAAAATTATTAACAATTAATTTACTAATTAAATGGTAAGTTATAATTAAAGTATAAATAGAAAATGTTGATGATCTTACTTTATAAATGGTATAGGTTATTCCAGTATTGAACATGAAATCCTTCTGTGTTAATTCAACCCAGTATTCGTCACCCGACTTGCAACCACATTCCACATTTGAATCCTTTAATAACCCATAATTAAAATGCAAAATAACTAAACATTACATAAATTTAAATAAAACGGGCAGCATCTATCCTCGATTCAGTTATGAAAACAGCACTATGAGAACTTATCTCATAGTTAAATTTATTTTTCAATACCTAACTTCTTTGAAAATTGTAACCTGCAGGTAAGTAAGGAAGGAATAATGTAGGATTGTTGTTAATTTTAGAGAGCAAGGAGAATGAGGATACATACAGGATAAAAAAAAGAAAAATCAACATGAATTACATGACAAACTTACAACTGGATCACGCTGAAAAATAACGACTCGTCCTCCTTTATCTCCTGTTGCGAGAAGATCTCCATCATGGTTGAATTCCACGCATGAAATAATGTCAGCTGAAAGTGGAATATCATAAATTTCTTGCGTATAAGATAACAAGGGAAACATTCAAAATAATGAATAGTTAATAAAAATAACTAAAATAAGAAATCAGGGCAGTTTAAACATTCCCTCATTAATTAAGCTGATTACTTTCAAACTGTTGTGAATTTAAATTTTATGAGAATTAATTCATAATAAAAAATTATTGGAGTCAAATACATCACAATTAAAATCAGTTTACACACTATATCATAAAGTAATATCCACTCACAGATAAGATAAAAAATTGTACTTTCAAATAGGTTGTGTAATAACTAAAAAGGAATGAAATAATTGTTAAAAAAATGTAATAAATATAATGTTTACGAAGTATATCCATAAATTCAAATATGAACTTTAATCTCATACCTACTTTTAATGCTACCATCCTAACCTATACTAAAAAGAGCAGGATAATAAAATGTAGATTATCGATTATATATTATGAACAAATAAATTCTAAACCATAAACCATGTTATTTAACAATAAAATATTACATACCTTCAGTAACATCGTCGTCTAAAGTCCCTTTGACTTGAGAAAAACACCACTGAATATCTCCATTGCCTGCAAATTAAACAACTTAATTCGTTTCAAGCACTGGCACAAAAAGATCAGAAAGTTATGCACTCGTGGAATCAACACGAGCCGAAAGTAGCTTTTATTACCTTGCATGGTAAACTTTTCAAATTTAAGTTATAGGTCGATTTCAAAACAGGTCACTTAGACAGTCCATACATTAGGCTACCGTAATGTACACACTAACAGGTCAAATCTGTACTAAATAAATTTATTAAATACAGCATTAAAAGCCCCTTTCTTTGGAAGAATTTAGAAACAAGATCCAGTAAGAGATTCAGTTACATCGCACCAAAATTTCCTACGCTCAATGGCGGCACGCACGAGTGCAAACCAGCAATGTGACGTCATTGGAAAATGCGCGTCGTCCCTGCTATCTGAATTACTACAATAACTACAGAAAAAAAATAAAGAAATTGTAAAGAATTTTACATTCACCTCTTTCTCCAGATCCTTTTAAATTTTCTTCCATTATTTGGAGGTTATATTTCTAATTCACTGCTAACAAATAATCTTCATCACGATAATTTGGACGAAATGAAAGACGTCTGACACTTTTTGAAGATACTTAAACAAAGTAAATAAAATAAATAAATAGGAAGGAGGAGGACACAACGAACTACTATAAAAGATAACACACATGAAATAAGTCAAAATTATGTTGAAACTCTATTCTCATCACAGCTGAATTTTTAAAAACCACTTGACAAATACTTCACTACCGGGATAACAGTAAAGAAGAACGGATATTTTTGGGTGATAAGTTATAATAGTGCTTTAAGATGGTAAAATCTACAGGTGTCACCACAGACTGAGGCAATAATGTAAGTATCTGTGCTCCTATCTGCCGGCTTCCATTCGAACCATAACATGCCAATCTCCCGCCTTTTATAGAGCAAAGGTTTTAAGCAAGGATTCAGATGCTCTTCAAAGTATGTAAACTTTATTTGGGATTACTGAAAATGGAAAAGTAAAAAAATATTACTGGATCGCAACTATGGGAAAGGGCACTTGAACTAGGCTGCAAAATTTAGGAGGCGCCCAATTTCGAGCCAAATTATATTTTAGGGATAAATTAAAGATATTTGTTTCTGATTATGATTGTTTTAACCACAATACAGTTTAAGAAATGAATTAATATAATGAGATGTTAATGTTCATTTGAGACAGGGGTGCCCATCCTCCGCAAGGTCATGAACTCCTTCCCCTTTCTTCTAAAATATTTTATTGCTATCCTCTTTTTAATGACAGTGCAAGCTAATGTATAATTTTAGAAGTATAATTAATATAAATTACAGTTTCACTGGTCTATTCTATGTTTTCCAACTTGTCACCTACTTTGAAACTTTTCATTTCGAAAATTCATAACATACTCAAAAATTATTTATTTTATTTATTCATTGTTACATTCCGCATCTACCCGATCGGGTCATTAGCGGCTTTAGATGTAATCAAATTAGGTGTACAAATTTAATGTCTTTATAAATTGAAACACTTTTTTTATCTTTTCTTCGTCATCTGAAAGTGCTTCAGATATGTTGGAAGGTATATTATGTTTTGTTCTGGTGTCAGAGTATAGTCTGCAAGTTGTTACAATGTGTTTCAGTGTAAGTGATGTGTTACATGTTTTACAAAATGGTGGTTCCAGGCCTCTCATTAGGTAGCCATGGGTAAAGGCTGCATGTCCAATTCTAAGCCGAGTTAAAATTGTTTCTTCTTTCCTGTTCTTTCTGAAAGAGGTCGTCCACGGTTTGGTATCTTTTTTAATTTCTTGCAATTTATTCGTAGATTGGTTCCACTTGAATTGCCATTTTTCATTTAGGATTTTTTTGCATTCCAATCTCCAGTCAGCAGTGGTCGTTAAATTGATCATTGTGGTTCCATTAGTTTTTCTTCTTGCCAGGTTCGCAGCTCTGTCTGCAGCTTCGTTCCCAGATATGCCACAATGTGAGGGTGCCCATGCGAGGACGATGTCACTGTTCGACGACTCCTTCATTTCCCAGAGGCAGTTTTTGATTTTCCTGGAAATGGCATTGTCGGCTTTCCCTTTGGCAATGGCCATTAATGAGCTTAAAGAGTCTGTAACTATAAGACCATTTTTTATGTTTTTTTTCTGTTAGTAATAACAAGGCCTGATGTATGGCGAATAGTTCGCCTGTGAAGACGCTGTTTATTTGGGGTAAATTGAATTTGAGGCACTGGTCTTTCAGTATTACTGCACATCCTACGTCACTATCCGTTTTTGACGCATCTGTATAAAGGGTTGTGTGTCCGAGGTATTTGTGTTTCATTTCTGTAAATAAGTGTTTTTTGACGAATTGGTCGTCGTCAGTTTGTATTTTCCTAGATAGAGACGTATCTGTTTTTATGAAAGAGTTATTCCATTGGTAGAATAAAGCGTCGTCTATTGTCATTATATTGTCCAGTCTGAAGTCTAATTGTAAAAGTAGTTTGTGGATTCTCTCCGTAATTAAAAACCCCGTCAAAATGTGCGCCCTCAAAAATTTTGATGGCGCAGCTCGGAACCTCCTTCTGGCCCCCCTGATTCGAGACATTACCTACAATTATAGAAGAAGACTTTCCTTTTTGATTGGGGGAGGAGGAAGGGGGAGAAGATGGATAGCGAAAAAATTGATTTTTTTTTTTGATTACAAGATTTTTTATCTGTGTAAAAATGATGTAAAAAGATAAATATATAAAATCAACACAATTATTGTGAACAACATATTACTGAATATTTACAAATACATTTGTACATATGCTAAAATAATAAATTATAGATTTTTATTTTTTTTTGTGCATATGGATATATTTTAAAATATCTGAATAAAACAAGTATCACATATTTGTATACATTAAAGATGGGAGAGAAAACAGTCACCATAACATGGGTACATTTCTAGAAATTTTTCAGAAAAAATTAATAATGTTAAAAACTGAAAAATATCTTTATGTTTGTACAACCTCAAAATAAAACACTGTTTTCACAGTATAACGAGTTATGTAACTAGTTACAGCTCTTTGTCTTTGGAAGACCAAGTCTGAGCCAATAGTTACCAAGAAATACATGAGGCTGAGGAAGGTGTGCAAATATTATCCTAAATGTTCTAATATAAGGAGAAGTATCTGAAAAATGAAGTCTGAATCAGTAAGATGAATTCCCTCTGCTGTTCATATTTGCCACAGAGAATGTAATGTGCATCCTTCCATATTCACGTGATGTTGTTAAATTAAATTATTATACAATCCTCGGAGATATTGCTATATAGTATTATTGGATATAGATGAAAATTGAAATAATAGGAATATTTAGGTCGTGGTAAAATACGTACGTACCAACTTCTAGACTTTAACCTAGCCAGCTAATCGACTTTTCCTATTTTTTTATTAAATTTTAGTTTACATATTTGATTTATTCATGTAGATTATTTATTTATTTTTTTAACTGGGGTGGGGGAGGGGATTAATTAGTGGGGAGGAAAAGAAGTGAAATGATTTTCTCGCCCCATCGCCTCCCCCGAAGTCTGCGCCTATGTTGCTTACAATTCTGTGGAATTCGGTTGGAGTGAGTGGGAAAGTTGATGCAAAATTAAGCTCGCTCCCAATCGCCATAATCGCAGACTCGATTCTTATATAATGTCTGAAAAATCAACAATTAGACATGGTGAATGAAGAATCATCCGACATTGCTATTGATTCAATGTAGGCGCTTTCAGTATATATTATTAAAACAGGAGTTTTAAATAAACCCAATCTCCGACTACTCCAACACTTACTAGACAAACACTCTAAGCTTTCAATCAATTACAAACGACTCATATACATGACAATAATAAGACCTATTTGGAGTTATGTAATTGAGCTTTGGGACTACACTAAATCATCGAATTCCTCTCATATCCAATCCTTACAATCCAAAAACCTTCGTAAAATCCTCAACGCTCCTTACTTTGTCACATATAAAATCATCCATGAAGACCTTAATGTTCTATATGTTTCCGATTTGGCTCAATCCAGATACCTATCCTTCCATAACAAACTGCAGAACCGTCCGAACCCTCTCGTTTCAAACCTTGCTTCCTCCTCAACCCCTGATAACCCTCCGAGGCGTCTGAAAAGAAGGTGGCCTCGTGTTCTTGATGTAAATTTATTATTTGAATGCTATCAGTGAGTAGTTTCTCAACACCCCCCCTATCGAACCATCATATCGAAGACATGTAGGTACTAGGGAGAAGCTGTGATTTTTGTCTATGAGGAAAAGTTTAATTTTGCCGCCTCTTCTTTCACTCCCCTCAATTAAAAATCATCATTTTATAACAGTATTTTAAGTAATGTATTTTAACAGATATCATCTCATGGTAGTAACTCATTTTATTGATTGAATTAAGATTAAAATAATTGAAATACAAAAGAAAAATATGTTTTACTTAACCAAAAAAATTAAATTTCGCTCTAAATTTGCCGCATATTAAAGTCTGATGACAAGTCCCAAGTCCTTTCGCCCAACTCCAGGTTCCTGCCCTCGTTCGTACCAGGGGTGCCCGGAAGAAGGTTTCGAAATTTTCGGTTTCAACCTAAAACCCTCCCTCCCCGTAGATTCCTCCGTAGTTAAGACCATCAGCTCTTTAAAACTATACGCCGATAAAAAAACTTTTAAACGTTATAAAAATATTTTTCCTTAAAAATATAAATTTACTATTACATCCCGTGGTTCAATAAAAATATTTTCAACTATATTAAAAACATGTTTTAGCCAAATATGTCTGCATTAACATCACGTTAGTAAATACAATTGACAATTAATGGTACTCTTTTTTTATAGTTGGCTTTGCATTTTTGTTGTCTATTTTTCTAGTTTTTGAACTTTTTTGGGGGATAAAAATGAATCTTTTAAAAAAATTCTGATCTTTATCCAAAACGAAACAGGTGGAGGAAAATAATTAATATTGTTGTATCATATAGATATACATTAGTCAGTTAGCTATGGGGAGATAAAGACATAAAACCTTTTGGTCATCAACGGCTGTTGTTTACTCACTCTGTTATCGAAGAACTGGATGTATGGGCTAAAAAGATAAATAATAGTAAGAATAAAGTGATTTTAATATATAGAAAAATATTTTAAATATGAATAAGCAAATAATTTATAGAGAAAAAAAAAATATATAGAGGGTTTTTCGTAAGTAAAGGGAATTAATTAAAGAACTGATAGTAGGCCACATCATCTCCAAAAAAAAAAAAAACAAAAAAAAAACACGGTTTTATTTAAAATTAAATTTTTGTGTGAAAATTAAAGTTTTGTGTTTTTTAAGTAAGACAAGTTTTTTGTTAAATAGAAAGCGATAACTTAAAGAATATTTAATTTAAGTAGTTATAAAGCAATTGCTTTATATTATTAAAGTAAAATTTCCACTAATGCAAATTACCGGCGAATCTACGGGGGTTGGAGGGGAGGAGGGAGAAGGGGCTTTCGGGCTGAAGCCCTCACCCCTCCAAAATGGTAAAAAATAACCATGTTTTATTAAAAAAAAAATCTTTAAAAGTATTATTGTTCGTCTAATTACAGTTAATAGGACTTCAACAATCACTCAAAGACCATTTCATATAGGAAGTTAGTTTCATTCTTTCTTCCGAAGTCATTATCCTAATGTATTTGTGCAAAAAAAAAAAAATCTTTCGGGCTAAAGTCCCCAAAATTAAATTCTGGATACGTTAGTGATGCAAATAGAGCTAAACTACGTGCGTGTATGTTTTATACATTGATTCTAAAAATCAGATATGTAAAATAAAGTAAAGTTTTTTTTTATAAAAGAAAAATCTCTTAATCTAATAAAATAGAGACCGAAATCGCATGGATTTTATTATGAGAAAGGAAACGAACTGTAGGATTAGCTTTCACCAAAAAGCTGCCCTCTCAAGTTATACAGGCAATGTAATGCGACCTTGATCCTAATCTTAACTTATTAATTCAAAGCTAACAGAACTCAATTCTCGTCATGGCTCAATCGGCACAGATTTGGATTGGAACCAACGTGATAAAAGAAACACGAACCAAATATAGCAAGCTCAACCGAAGTATTAAATACAACCATCAGAGAAATAGAGGGTTCATTACTTTGAAGATCGCACTAGAATTAGTTTATTTCTTTAATTTTTTTTATAAAAGATCCAAACAAATAAATCTTTTATTCG